TGCAGACAAATGCTGTTCATTTACATGCTTGAGGAACTTCCTTGAAAACAGCATTAGCAATATGGAGATGACATGAGCAGGGGTTTGTCAGAAGCCTACATGGTGCTCGTGGCTATGCAGAGCTCTTGGCTGCATCAACACACATGAAAATATCTGCAGGGGGCTGCAAAGACAGTTCTTAAATGGCTGAACAGCTTTGCAAAAAGCTGCATTCTCCTTCAGTGAAGCTGGGAAGAATCTTGTTAATTCATCTGTCTGGGATAACTGTGGAGCCATCACCTTGGCTCCTTCACACCCCCATGTTCCCATACCAAAGCCACTCTCAGATAACAGCATCCTGTGCCAGCTACTCTGTCACTTGATTTCTGGGGACAACTGGGATGGAAAGAAAGCCCCTGTACTTTACAATAAGGGAATTTTCCTGATCAAGGAAATGATTGTCAATAAAAATGAAGACCAAAAGGCAGCTTTACGTGTCGGTATGGGCAATGTATAGAACATACAGGAAGGGCTTGTTTACTAGTGTGAAATAAATGTATAGCTTAACAGAATCAAAACAGAGAAAGCTAAAACTGTAATCTCTGGTAAGCTTGTTATGAACTCTTTATAGAGCTTGTATATGAAAAAATGGCTACATAGTCGACTATATTATATCATATTAACTATAGTGTATTAGCTATATTCTATTCTATGGCACTGGAAAGAGGAATGAATATATTACTGAAACCATGACCCATCCAAGTGCAGGGTGATGATCTGACCACGAGGTGGGAGCATTGCTCATCACACACGAGGCTTTCTCTGGCTGTTCAAGATAGAAATAGCCCCTACATTTCTGTCACCATCTGCAAACGTGCATATTACCACTGGAATAGTAAGTTCCCAGGGCAAACACTCAAAAAAGAGCCTTTTAATTGCCTGTAATTGCTAGATGAAAAAGAATATTTGAATGAATTGTGTTTTGGTCCCCAGAACAAAGAGTTGCTCTGAAAACTTTGTATTAACTTTGCAGAATCTTTTTCCCAGTAGGCAAAAATTGAGAAAGTGGTAGGGATGGCCTGTGAAAGTGGCAATCATAGGATGCTTTGGGTTGGAAGGGACCTTTCAAAGCTATCTAGTCCAAACCCCCTGCAGGGAGCAGGGACATCTGTAGGTAGAGCAGGTTGCTCAGAGCCCCGGCCAACCTCACCTGGAATGGTTCCAGGGATGGGGCTTCTGCCACCTCTCTGGGCAACCTGGGCCAGGGGCTCACCACCCTCATTGTATAAAATTTCTTTCTTATATCTAGTCTGAAATGGGGAAGAATAAATGTCTCATTTGTTGTTAATTTTATGAGCAGGAAAAAAAAAATGCAAAAAAGAAAGTTTGTGATCGTAGATAAAAATGATTTCCATGGGACTGCATACAATTTTGCTCCCCACCCTCATTGTATAAAATTTCTTTCTTATATCTAGTCTGAAATGGGGAAGAATAAATGTTTCATTTGTTGTTAATTTTATGAGCAGAAAAAAAAAATGCAAAAAAGAATGTTTGTGATCGTAGATAAAAATTATTTCCATGTGACTGCTTACAATTTTCCATTCAAAGTGTTGAAAAACAACTATTTCACATGGGAAAACCAGGTTTTCCAAAATGGTTTAATAATGTTCTATCCCACAGGAAACACTTGATGAACTACTTGTGCTGAGGATGTCGCTGGTAGGGCTGAAACAAAGGACAGCACTGACTAACAAGAGGCATCTCCCACAGAAAAACAGCCAACAATATGAAGATTAACATGAGAAGGAGACCAACCTACATTCAAGGGACTTGCACAGGACTTTGAAGCAGTTAAGACTGAAATCTAAGGCATGACTGCAGCTTACATAGCCAGCCTCAAGCTCGTTGGCTTTGGTGTGGATAGACTAAGTCATATGAAGCTCTAGCTAGATGCACACCTAGTTCCTTGCTGTCTCAGTGAGACTGATACCTGCTTTTGGAGGCATGCCCACTCAGCTGTTTTTGGGTAGCTTCAGCATAACTCTGACACAGAAACTACATTTCACACCTGTGACTACAGTGTAGAGCTCTTCAATGTCTTCATGTCCACATGGGCTAGTTACTCCACATGTCCCTGGCCACCAGGTTCCCCAGTAGGACAAATCTATTAGAAACATTTTAGCATGTATGAATTTCTATAACAATGTATTAAAATAACTTCCTTTGTATATGCTGAAAAAGCAGCTTGGCCACAGATTCTGCAAAGATTTGTGCAATACCTGCCCTGCAGCTCTCTCCTCCAGGTGGCCATCCTGTAGGACAGGGCAGCAGACTGACCTTGGTTGTGTGCAGGGCCCCAGCTGATGCTCATGGGTGGCAGTGAGAAAGCTGAAGCCCTGATGGTAAACCTACACAAATGGGCACCTGTTGAATTCACATCCCAGCCACATACTGAACAGAGGCTGTAAACCCCAAGTACCCTTCACCCTGTAAAAAGTCCAGGCTGAGGGTCACCCAGCAGCAGACTATATGTGATGAGTGCATTACAGCTGGAACCTCATTCTTTTAGCTCCCTTGCTTAATCTTTTCTTTTCCAGCATGTGAAAGACCATGTACTGGCATGTGAGAAAGCAAATTTTTTGGGTAAACATTTCAGTAGCCTGCACACAGCTATGTATTATCCATGGATAATGTTCCTTTCTCCTCAGCCTTCTCTGTTCTTTCTTTCTCCACATCCCTCACATGGCTGGTAAGGAGATTTGCTCTGGAGAGAGTAATGGACAGAACAGGTTGTGGAGTATTTGTCCAAGCAGAAGAGTCACCCCAGCTCTTTCCTTTCTAAAGTGCATCATTCATAATGTTTCCCCTGATTTCTATCACTGAGATTGTTAGCTATAATCCATCTCTACAGATGACAAATAGATTTTAAATAACTAACTCCACACAAAGACTAGCAACTTGGAAGGAACCAAATTCACCCCCTCAACCTTCAAGTCAACATGAATCTTTCACTTCTTGGTCCTCCAGCCCAACTAAATAGGTGGCCCTAATCTCTCTGAGACCTTAGGAGAACAGGCCTTCAAATGTAACCCAGTCCTCAAGGTCAGGGATTCCTGGGTCTACTCTCTTGGCTGGGCTGGTGCTCCTGAGTCCTCCTAAAGAAGCCTTCCAGCACAGCCACCGCTCAGCCATCACCATCCACCCCTGTGGGGAGAGTGGCCATTCTGCCCATTGGTTCTCCTGGGGCCTTGATGGTTACATACAGCACTGCACATACCCGTGAACATCTGAAGAGTCTCTTGTTCTTTGAGGATTTGTGCTGAATGTCTGCATGACCATAAGCAGAGTTGTGAGTGGTACTTGTTCAAGGCTCTTTTCCTGACAGACACTGAACTCCAATGTGTAAATATGATCTCCTAACAAAATAATTTAATTCTCCTAAGCAATTGTTGCTAAGAGGCCTCTTTAAAAAAAAAAAGCACATATTTATGTGTCTGAAATATGTCCTTCTAGATTATTTTTTCTACATTTTTTTTTAAGATGTCACTTTTTCTTCTTATTTATCATTTTGCTAGAGCGATAGAAATTTAAAGTCATTTCTTCAAAGTAAGCTAGAAAATAAAAGACAGTATCAGTCCTTACAATGAGATTGTCTTTCTTGACTATCAAACCCCAGAACTGCATTATTTACATTTGGGAATAGCTGTGTTTCATTGAGCCATACACAAAGAAAATGCAAGCTCTAACATTTGTTTCCATTTATTTTGCTACCAAATGCTTCAGCAATTGCTTTTGGAGCAAAGTGGATTCAGATACTATCTCAGAGCCCTGTGGGACACAGCTGAGAAGATGAAAAGGAGTAAACATGCCATAGACCTTACAGCTGGTTTTCCACTTTGCTGAGGCTACTAAACTTCTGTAGATCTCTACACTAGAATCAGATCCCTTGACAATTATTTCCAGATGCCCAAGAAACTGTCCTATGGCTTAGAATGTTTGAGCCTCAGCTCAACAATGTTTCAGCAACACCCTTTTTCTACAGAATCCTTAATAGGACCTCTGTGCTGAATCACAGAACCATTAGATTGGAAAAGTTCTTTAAGATCATCATGTTTGACCATTAACCTGACTCTACCATGTCCACTGCTAAACCATGTCTAGCAGTATATCTAAGCACCATATCTGCATGACTTTTAAACACATCTAGGGATGGTGATCCAACCACTTGCCTGGGAAGCCTGTTCCAGGGCTTGACAACCCTTTCAGTGAAGAAATTTTTCCTAATGTCCAACTTAAACCTCTCCTGACACAATTGGAGGCCATTTGCACTCACCCTATCACTTGTTACTCGGGAGAAGAGACCAACACCCACCTCTCCACAACCTCCTTGCAGGGAGTTGTCAAGAGCAAGAAGGTCTCCCTTGAGCCTCTTTTTCTTCAGACTAAATAGCTCCTGTTCCCTCAGCCACTCCTCAAAAGGTTTGTGCCCTAGTGATGTGCTCAAGGCTGCTTGGTGTTGAACATCTGTGGTTCAACAGCACTTGACACATTCCCCCTCAGACAAGGAAGCCCAGAAAGCTTTGTGATTGTATTGGTGTGGTATAAAATACCTCATGAAGAAGAGAGGCACCTTGTGCAGGTGTTTTCTTAGCTCTGTTTCTTGCCTCTCCCATGCAGCCTGTCCTAACAGAAAGCAGAATACAGCCCAGAGAAAGTCAGAGGGATAGAACCTCACAAATCCACATTTCTATTAAGCAACTCTAATAATCCAGGACTTTTCTTGCACAAAAACTGATGGAAAAGTCTTACCAACAGAACAACTACATGGTGCTAGGCATTATGTGAAAGGGATGATTTTCCTCCAGAATGCCCCAATGGGATTTTTCAAGTCTAACGACTGTTTCTGTTAAATCTGTTTCTGGTTACCACACAATTTGTTTTAGAATAAACTGCAGATGTTTAGGAAACAATAGATTGCATATAAAAATGGGTGACAAAATGTGATAAAATGTTGTCCTTACCATCTGGTTTCTTTGATTCATCCCCCACGTTGGACTGATCTTTTTTGTCCAACTTATTGTCTTCCTTTAATTCACCTAGAAAGAAGCAATAAGAAACACTTTAAGCACTTTAATGCAGACTGCAGTTTATTAATCCTTATAGCACAATAAAATTTCCACATCCAAAGGAATGTTCCTTAGGAAAAGTTCCTTAGGAAAAGGTCTCCATTCAAGGGAACTGGTGTAACACATTTTCATAGAATAAAGCACCAGACAAAATTATCCAACTCCTACAGAAAATCAAGATTTACAACCTACTTTAAATGTTAGTTTAATTGTTAACACCTCTTTATGTGCATATGCAAATTCATACAGCCTATGGTTGTATGTAGGCCATTAAAAAAACTAAGCACAACCTTCTTTTCAAAATCAGGACTGTGAAACATTTATGCTTTTAAAGGACTAAGACCCTGCAAGGCTTCATCACAAGTCCCTGCATTAAAGAACCACCTTAGATATCCCAAACAGTCCTATTTAATTTTGCCTTGCTTGCTTTTAGCAGTGTCCTTTATCCACAGATTCATTTGGGTTGGTAACCATCATCCTAGCATGGATCAAATCATCATCCTAGCACTGATCACTGACTTTAGAGTCTCTGTAGCAAACCAGGAAAGCAAAGCCTTTGGCAGAGCCATGGTGGGTGCAGAATGAAGCTGGCAACTTGAGCTGGGGTATATTTTATGAAGCCATGAAGGTCAACCAGAGTCATTGTCTTTTTCTGTCCTCTCCTATTGTTATACAGCAGAGCACATAAGACCTTCCCAGACCATCCCTTCATTGAATGAGGATGCCAAATGCAAGACCAAATGAAAAATGACTTTAAGGGAGAGCCCTAGCAGAACAGGGCTCTTTCAGCTGCAGCTTCCAAAGAGCAGCAAAGAAGCTGTCCTCCCTTCAGATGTCCCCAGAAGCAACAGCAGCCTGCCCAGGGGGGAGCAGGCAGCTTGTCCTTTCCCCCAGAGGAGTGGCAGTGAATTTGTGACCCACATCTCCACATAAAAAGGTGTAAAAGCCTCAACTGAGAATTTTGTAAATGTGAGGTATGTTACAGGGCTTTATTAAAGTGATGCTCATTCCATTTGTATTACTGGTGTTGTTGCAATAACTACTCCCTAGCCTTTGGATCAAGATTATAGGTATGAAGTGTTAAAGAGAATCTGATCTGCCTTCAAAATAGTTATGGCCAGCTCAAAATAAAGGGAAGCTGCAGAGAAGCAAGATCTCCCTCCTCCACACTGTGCCCTAACCACTGGAATATTTGTTATTCTTGGATGACAGAGGAACGATCTCTCTCTCCAGTTAAGCTTCATCATAGTATAAAAGAGGAATGGTTTTCAAATCTCAAAACATTTACAAGATGGAAAAAACATGTCCTGTCCAGTTCTCATCCAGAGCCAAAACTTTTCATGTTTTTCTTGCTAAACGCACTGTGTGGGTGAGAGAAAAATGAAAGCAGGTTGACACAGGACAAGCAGCAAGAGTCTCAGCTGATCACACTGCCACTGGGTTGGGCTCCTTGGACAGAGAGGTATGAGCAGCTGAGATGAGGGCTGAGATGTCTCCTTGATGATGATGGCCTCTCAAAGAAGGGCACTGTGTTCACAAAATGAAATGAAAATGTATCTAGCAAAGCACAAAAGTGTTCTCTCATTTCCTCCAGCACCACATGGCTGGTGGTAATGATAAGCTAATAATGCTTTATTTGACCACTGCATAATAAAAATGCTTGACCCCAAGTGTGTGCAGGAAAAGATGAACATCCACACATTTATTTCACAGTGTGATCTCTCTGAGAAAGCACACGGGCAGCAAGTGACTGAGAGAAACTTTAAACTCCCCTGACAACACAATTTCTGAACTTTAATTGAATATAGCTTATTATGAATAAGGGACTTTTGAGTATTGTAATATCTGCTGTGCCATACTGCCAGCAGCAGAGCAGAACGATGATCATAATGATCTTTTTGAAAGGGATTACAAAGGCAGAGAAATAATAAGGCAAATACTTTATGATGAGATATTAACATATAGGCATAAAGGAAGGTGAACCCAGAGATATGACATTAAGATTTCATCCATCTCCAAAGACTCTGCAGTGATTGCACCTCAAAAAGACCTTTTCCTATAAATTAAGGAACAGATTTTTTTTTTTTTTTCCTGAGGAAGATATGAATTTTCAGAAATCATTAGAATTCCTTTTAAAGCATTTTGGCACCTGCAGCAGAGAGGTTTTGCAGAGAAAGGTACTGTCAAAATCACCAGAGCATGCTTAACCACCATATAGTTAGAAGCATCTAAAACAAAAGTATTTCAGAAGAAAAGTCTGATGCAAGCTAACTGGGATTTTAGATGTCCCCCAACCTTTCTGTCTCCTTGGAGGGGCCATTGATGTTCTCAGATCCCCATGGTCCTTCCAATATAAAAAATCCCTAATGATGAAGAAGAGATCACTGGGAAGGGCCAGGATCCAAGTGAAATACATGGGAATCATATCAGGAAGGCTTTAAACAGAATTTCTTCCTCTGCTGCCATCTCAGCTCACTGCCTGAGCCTGGGACTTTCAAAGCCTGTATGCTCACTTAGGTTTTTTCTAAGAGGATGCTTCCCAGTCTGAATTTTTTGCTGGTTTTGGAATGGTCAATACCAGCCAAGTTTCTGACAAGTCACATGTTCCTCTACTGCCATTTTTTGATAACTGCTTCAGGGAGCAGGAGCTCAGGAGGGAAGGACAGTGAAATGGGCAAGAGTTAACTGTTCTCAAGGGTCCCATTTGTTTTTCTTTTTAATGTTTAATGCAATCTTCTAACATTTTATCCAAAATCTTGGGTGCAAAATGTGTTTCTTATTTTAAGTCAGTTCTGTAGCAAGTTCAAAAACTGGAAATAAAGTTCTGATTGAAAAAGATCTCCAAAAAAGGCTTCTGACTGCCCAAATAAAAAATCTGAGCAAAGGAAGCATAAATAAAACAAACCCTTAAAAATAGCAAGGGGGAAAATCCTCTGTTCCAAAACATGTTTATATTTCAGACTCAGTTCAAAGATACCTTTAAGTGACTTTTAAAAAAGCATATAAGCCAACTTTGGCTTCTTCTCTGTCAGTTACCCAAGAAATTAAACTGTTCATTGAAGCAAGAATATTTGTCTCAGCTTTTCAGCCTGTGTATTGCTTTATTTCCATGGGAAAAGTGATTTTTCCTTTCCTCCAAAAGCAGGTTATGATAAGCCTCATCTTCCATAGAAGAACACTGCTTGGGGGTTAATTTGCAGCTTCTGATTCTCATCTGCAGGTGACTATGCCAAGGTCCAGGATGAGGGTCTGGACCCAGGAGATCATCAGGTTCCCCCATCACTGAGGTGAGATACTGGTTCTAGGGCTGGATTTACAGGAGTGGAAGGAGGGAACTCACCATTCTGAACGTGCTGTTTCTGTTCTCCTGCTCCATGATGAGAGTCTGCTCCCTTATCTGTCCTAGGTGCATTTTTCCCTTGAGAGGCTTCATGTTTGTTCATTCCAGTTTGTCGAGTCCCATTTACATGATTCTTATTGGAATCTGCACTTTTGTTTTCCCCAGGATTTGGTTCTTTGCTGTTCTCTGCTGCTGTGGCATCTTCAGCTGGCTTCTTCTCATCCTTTTCATCTGTTTTCTTTTCATCTGTTCCCTGATGTGCATTTTCCTCTGCTTCTTTCTTAGCTTTTTCTTCTGCATCCTCAGCAAAGACAGAAGCAAATCAGGGAAAGAAATCATGATTATCAGTCAGTTTGGCAAGAATGATACATCTTACACATCTAAACCTACTTCAGATTTTTATACACAAACAGCTTTTACTTAGATAAATCTAGGAATTGACTTGACAGAGAGCACAGAAGAACACAGGAAAAAGAGCACAGGAAACATTTAAGAAAGTAGTCTGAAAAAAATGTTGGCCTAAATGTATATGATGTGTACCTCCTTTTTTTAGCATATAATATTCACCTTGGAAAATGCAGTGCTTCAAAATTCTTAAATTTTTAAATTTAATTCTTAAACTAAAAATAGATATTGAAGGCTCTAGGGTTGCCAAGCTGAGCTTCATTTTTGACATCCAACATTCAGTCAAGTGCCATTCAGATTATCTCATACTGTACCATGTAACTCTAAGCACACAACAAGTCTTGCTTCTTTGATATCTTTGTCCCTTCTTGGTAGGCTAATATATTGCTACTTGTACTTGCCCTTCCACCCCCAAAAGTCTTACAGTCAATCACAAATATGCAGAGGTGTAAATTCAAAAGTGAACAACAGCAGCATCTCAGAATAGTTATGCAGGAAAAAAAAAATCACAGAGAAGCCAATTCCCCCATTCAAGTACTGCTCTTATCTTAATAATAAACTATCTTACACTATTATTACCTCTATGATAATACTTATAGGTTGCAAATTACTTTGGCTCCAGATGTTGAGACCACTGGACTTGTAGCTCAACCCCCAGACTGAGCTCCCAAGGCTCTGTGTGACTTCCTATGCCACAAGCAGGACTCAAGCACAGACCCTCAGTGCAGCCCTTGAGCTAATAAACACTGCAGGGTGTGCAGAGACCCCATCATTCCCTCCCCCTTCTCCATAATCAACAGAGACTCAGTTTGGAAGCACTCAGTACTGTGCCAAGTAGCTCAGCAACCACTGAGCAACCAATTCCACTTTAATTGTGACAGGAATCACAAATCTATCTCCTGTTTTCTGAGAGACTGTGTAAGCTGATGAGCACAGAAGCAGATCCTACAAAACACTGATTAGAGTCTACCTTGGTCCTATGGAGATATGTTTGACATCTACAGGGAAGATGTTTTGTTCCTTAGAGAAGCCAGGCCTTGGCCTGTGAGTAAAAATTATGAAAGAATTTCTAAATGTCTTGTCAAATATTTCTTGTGAGAAACCAGTTTTGAGAAAAATGTATCAATGGGCTACAATATAGAAAGGAGGAAAGCATCCTGTGAGAAATGCCAATCTGTATTTCCTTGCCAGCAGCTAACTGAAGTTAATTAATTTTTAAATTAATACATTATGGCTCACACAAAAATGTAATTAAATTACATATGAGCCTCCATCCCTTTATTAATCATTCTTGAAATCTATGGTAGTTTCCATAGCATGTTGATATTTTCCCTGGAGTCTCATGGTACTCATGGTACACAGAAGGATTCCTTTCACTTGGAGAAAAAAAAACATTGCATTTTTGCAGCTGAACCACAGGAGAGAAAATTGGCTCAGGAGACTGAGGCTTGCTATAGCACCATTGGATGGGTGCCTCTTGGCAAAATTAGTGTCAGAAAATACTTTACCTAAATGGTGCTTTGCACATCAGGATGTTTGTTTACTCAGGGTTGGTTTTTTTTTTTAATTTGTAGCTATTTAATGATGATTCTTTAAGCAAAATGAGAGCAGTAATAAACCCACTTATTTTGCCCACACAGCACAAGAGATTTTCTATAAATACCACACTCAGGATAAAAATAGCTCACTGATGATTCTAGGGACAATGCCATTACCAAAGGGAATACAACATCCTCCAAATAATTTCATAATAGCAATAGTAGTAATAATAATAACAATAACAGATGGATTTCCTTCCTTTCTCATCCCCAGTTGCTATTTGTTGTCAATCACCAGTTAAATGCTTTATCTCTCTTAATGTTTCTTTTTTTTATTGGCAGAGCATCTTGATGCATTGCAAGACCCCAGGGTTGGCAATTTGGACTCCTGCTGTGTGGCAGCCCCTGCTGCATATGGCTGAGAGAGGCAAGGCAGATGGAGACCGAGTCAGGAGCAAGGCAGCAGCTGAGCAAAGGTCTTGATGCAGGGGCTCTGGAGTCCAAGAACAGCTCCTTAGTCCCTGGCCCATACATAGGTGTGCTGAGACATTTGTTTGTATACATGTTTCAGGATAAAAAAAAAAAGAAACATGTGTTTGTACTCCTAAAGGCACCCAGAAATGCAGAAATTGTGTGAAAGTCAATTAATTCCAAAGCTGAGACTGCTTTGTGAATCTTTGACCTATAAATTGGGGCTCTGATACAAGTTATTGACAATAAAGTCTGGCAAAAAAAAATCAAGTGAATCAACTGTTCAGGGCTAAAGGCTGTCAGAAAGGCAAAGATAAAATGACCTGTTGAAGGGCTCCCATGCCTGATAGTTGTAATACTGAGCTCTCTGCTTTCACATGATCAACTCATTCCTCCACAGACCCTCAGGAGCTGCTAGAAGGAATTTTTTTTTATGAGGTCATTAAAAAATAAAACATTTTCCTCTCCAACTAAAGCACTGATAACCCAACAGGTATCATCAGGATTCTGTGTAATGGACATGAACTCCTGCACCAGTACAAATTACCAGCAGCAATGTGTGCACAACCACTTGAATCATATCTTGACATTTACATGTGCACATTTGGAAAAAGGTCTTTATGCAAAGCAGTCACTGCAAGTGGGTACAAAGCATATTTAAAAGTTAAATAGCCAGAATCTATGATGATGTGCTCTATATATTTGTTTTAGGTGAAATGTAAGATCAGTTTTATTTATTGCCCAAAGGTCTCTCCTGCACACAGGATTTTTATCTAGTAGATCCTTAGCAGACAAGCAAATATGTATTGAAATGAAACCCTTTAAACTAGTTCACTGTATTTCATGCACTCAACACTCCTGTTCTGTGAGACAATGACCATGTTGCATGCTTTGGTTGCTTGGTTACCTTTAATTTGTTGGTTCACAAAGAACCATGAAGTAGTAAATACCAAAGGAAAAATAAAAAAGCTGGAAAAAAAGGCCCTGGCAAATATGCAGATTTTGAATTCTGGTTTTGTTTTCATTTTCATGGGATGCCTAGAAAGGCTTTTCCTGAGTGGCAAGTTTTAATGACAAAGGCAAATTCAATTTGGATAATAACAAGTGCTTTCCTGCACCTTTAGACAGGCCTCTCAGTTGGAGAGGAACAACCTGCTCTGGCAAATAGAAGAGCTACACCAAATCTTCCACCAGCCCTGAAGCCAAGGCCACATAATGCCTTATATGCAAATTCCATTTACATGAAATACAACAACTCCATTAAATCAGGGTTTGAGTAACAAACATTCAGCTTGGAGAAGAAATTGCAAACAGTTTCCTGAAATAAAAAAGAATAAAATCAGTGACACATCCCTCCTTTTTTCATTCCAAAGCTGGTTTAAATCACGCAGGAGACCTTGAGCAAGGGGCAATTGCACCCACCCAGAGTCTGACTGATGACTTTAGAGGACATCTCTTATGACTATTTTTTTTTTCCTCCCATTATCCACATCCTCTTAATTACACTTAGACCATGTAAGGAGAGTATAAGGCAGAGATGAGTCACAATCTCCCTGGCTTTCTCAACTCAGTGTACGTTGTTGACCTTGAAAACCAGGTTCTCTCAAACTAACAGTGCTTACTTGGAGAATAATTTGATTGAAGAAGAGCTTGAAGAAGTCAAAAGAATGGTTTATTCTTTCACTAAGAAGGCTGGCTGTTACCTTTGGTGGCTTGTGCTTTCCATTTCTCCCGGTTCTGCTGCACCACCTCAGTCCAGGTGGCTTTAAAACATTTGAAGTCCACAGTGAGTATGGAGCAGTTGAGTGAGGCACTTCCTTCAGACCCAGTGCTCTTGACACTTGATCTCTTAACTTCAGTGGGACTAATGTTATTCAGACTGGGACACAAGATCACAAAACACAGAAGAAATCAGTATCCCATACACCCAAATATAGCTAAGAAGAAATAATGAAGGTAAGTCTAAATAACACAGTCAAACAGGAAAAACAAAAGCTAAGCTTGAATCCTCCCTTCCCTCCCAACCAATGTTAAAGCAAACAGCACAACCTGAGCCAGTACTGGAAATAAAGGACAGTTTTTCCTACTTATTTTTTGTATCCATAGTCCCTAAGAAATAGAACCACTCAAAGTGTTGCCATTACTTTTGCTGTGCATCTTCACTCCCTAAATAGTCATTGGAGAGTCAGACAATTCTAGAAATAAAATCTGTCACAGAGGCAGCCTCCTAAAATTCACCAGTGGAATTTTAGTGGCCATTAAGAAGAGGACAAGGAGCCCAATCTCTGCCCAGGGCTTGGTCAGGGAAGACTTGAAGTCAGGCATTTGTTTCAGTTACAGACCTTACAGCTGTCTTTCAAGGATGGACACCTCCTTGTGCACATTTTCATAAAGTCAAGTGGCACAGGGAAATATTAGTACTTGCTCTTTGTGTAACAGCCCAAGAGTAAAGAAGTCACCTGGGAGAGGGAATCCTGACTTGGTAACCCTGCTCTAGAGAGCACTAGCCACGTGGCATGTGAATCCCAAGACATGCCTTGTCCATGAAACTACTGAAAGAGTAGCAGTTTCATGGACATGTAATTTCTCTACAATAGCAGAACAGGTTGAATGGAACTCCAGGTGAACTCTGGTGGCACCTCACACATTCACATAACCCTAAATACTGTCACTAAAATGTGCTTATACTTCCCAGTCCTCTTTCGTATTTCAGCCCCATTCATACTTCCAGACATGGAGTGCCTCCCAATGACTCCCTCTACCTTGTTTTTGACTTTAGAGCATGAAAGTTCACCTGATTGCATGGCCACAACCTTTTGTGCTCACTGCCTTTGGAGGCATGGCTCAGGCTCATGCCACCCTCCCTCTTTGCCCTTCCCAAAGCCGGAGCTTCCCTGCAACGAAGTCACGTCCCAGGGTGAGCCGCGGTGTCGGCAATGCAAACATGGGGCTTTAAATCCTATGGAAGCTATATGCTGTGGAAGGCAACCAGGAGGGTTGGTGCTCAGGCAGCGTGTGCAGAGGGAAGGGAGAGGGTGTGTGGTTGTCCACCTGGAACGCCTGAAGCCGGCCATGCCAGAGCGGGACGCCTCCTCGATGAGCGGGGTCACAATCTTCTCGGTCATGTCAGTCAGCACAGTAAAAGTGGGTTCCACGATGAAATCGATGAAACCTGAGCAGAAACACAAGCAGAGTCAGGCAGGATTGATGTGGAGTCACTGCCTCAGGGATGGTGGACAACCACACTGTAAAAGACAGTAAAAAATTACACCGTGAAAGAGGGACAAGGAAATATTAGAAAGGCAAAACATAGTTATATATTAATCCTTGACCCAAGAGCCTGGCTATAGCATACAATAAAAGGTACCTCCTTAAACACTGGAAAAACTGGCCAATCAGAAAATAAACAGATGCATCAGAACATGTTTTATATGAGGAGCAGGATATTTAAGCCAAGTTCCTAGCGGATTTGGATAAAATCCAATTTCAAAAACGCACTCTCTGAAAGCAGAAAATTAATGTAGTAATAACACTGCTAAGCTTTGCTGGTGTGGAGTTCCATGCAAACCTCCCTTACTACACATCAGTGGGTTGTTGTGAATATTCTCTCCCCAGTGCTCTGCTTGTTCTTGTTGATAATAAAACAGATTTAGATGCTTTTCCATCCATTTTTTTTAATATAAAGAAAGGAAAGGAAAAAAAAGGGCCAAATAATTTCTACTTCAGTATACAGTTTGGCAGAGATTAATTTGTGTCTAATCTGTGTGTTGGGAAGGGCAGACTGAAGGGCGCTGTAGCCATAAACTCATGAGATGAAGGGAAATCCAAGTTGCATGGAAAAAATGTAAGAGTGAGCATCTTAGAGTACTTTACAACTTCCCCTAAATTCTCACCTGGGGCAAGGGCTACTTCTTATGTTCATTTTATCACTCCACTTAGCAGATTTCTGAGGGCTGCAGGTAGCCAAGAAAACAACTATTTCCTTAATCCCTCCTAAGGCATCTTTTAAAATATTTGGTAATTATCAACTATTAAGTATATCATAATATTATCATTTCTCTGACTGGGTCATGAGATGATTCTGTAGCAGACCCCAGTGATTCTAGGTGATAAAAGAACAATAAAGGGAGAAGAGACTACATGGGTGAGGCACCTGAATTCAGAGATGCTTGGATCTAAGGTGCAAAGAAGCTGAGCATCCTTCTTATTCCACTTCCCTCCCCTGATTTTTGCTAAATTTCTAAAAGGATGGGTAATTAAATGTATTTTCATCCCTAGCCAGATTGAAAGCATTACTTGCAAGTTCTCAGAATTTCATACTAACATTCTGTAAATCTGGAGTAAACATACATTCAGTCTTATCTGAACATCATAGAAACAAAACCTAGGACTTTATTCATAATTATGTAAATTATGCCATATTGCCAAGTGCCTCCCCCTAACCCGTGTTCTCTCTTCTTACCTAAAGACACTGTGATTTAAATATGGTGATGTAGTTTGCTAATTAAAACCCTTGAATAATGAACCTGAGTTTTAAAACCTATTAATGCTAACGACCATTTTATCATTCCTTTTCTTCTTCAATAGAATGAGTGTGGTAAATATTTCTGCACCCCAGTGACTAAGATGATTTTTACCAATTAACACTGCGTGCTGAAGGGGGATTCCAGACACGTGCCTCGTGTTCATTCATCCTGAGAATGTCACTATGGCAAACACTGGCTAGAAGACAATTTCCCTAAATCCCACCACCAAAAAAAAAAGAAAGAAAGAACAGAAAAAAAGAATTATCATCAGCACTCATCAGCCTTTATCCATCGTTTTCTGAAGCTGTAATTTTCTTTCTTGTCAGCCAAAGGACAAAAAGAAAAGGATGCTGCTACATTTATCAGCTGCAAAAGAGGACAAATGACAACAAAGACTGATCTCCAGTCAAACAAGCTTCCTACAGGCTGAGATGGACAGAAAAGCTTTAACTACTGATATTCTAGTTGGGAAATACAAGTCTTGGCCTGGATTTCTGTGCAATTAAGATAAGCAGCCTGACTTCTGGTCATGAATCTCCTGATTTCTGTACTTTACTGTGGTACAGAAATATTCACCACACTCGTTTTATTGAAGAAGAAAAAGAATGATGAATTGATCATTAGCATTAACATTAATAAGTTTTAAACCCCAGGTTCATTACCTGATATTCAGGGTTTCTTTCATTATCAGTTTAAACTGATACAACAGAAGAAAAAGACAATCTTTCTTTTGAGAAAGTTTTTGCTGTTAGACTGCTTCATTTCTGTGGAAAAAGTCTGTCCTGGAAAACCTTCAGTCTGCATTTGTGAAGATCTTTTGCTAATGAAACTCTTGCCTGGAATTGTGGCATCTGCGGTGACCTTAAAGCAGCAAACCAGCAACCAGAAACCAGTAGAGCCACCAGCAGAGGCTTTCTAGGCACTGTCCCTGACAGAACCAAGAGCACAATTTTATTCCACAACAGACAGAGGTTTTTTTATTTGTGGGAACTGATGGCTGCAGATAATAGCACAATTTGGAATTAAGCAAGAATTTGCTTTTGCAAAGAAATGTAGTAATTACTATTCCAGGGAACAATTTATTAAGGCTGTTAATCAGGTAAATAAACGAATGGGAACAGATTATTTGCCTGAGAATCTAGCCTACATCTTTGAAAGCCTTACCTCAGCAGATAGCCAGAAAATGTAAAACATTTTGATTTGACAAAGGAGACGTTACAGAAAGACACTGCCAATATGTGCAGCCAACTGAGAAATGAAAATTTTATAACGTTAGAAGGCAAGATTTACAGAGCACAGCCTATTAATGTCAATGGGTTACTAAACTGCACAAATCAAATATAATGACAAAGAGTATGTGCCTAAATAAGGCTGCCGTTGCATACTGATGAGTGCCTCTTTTATAAAGGTGGAATTGTGTTGGTGATGGTTTAATTCATCATTAATTTTGCAGTGGCTTTACACAAGGGGCACTGGTGCAGAAGGTTCTTGGCTCTCCCAACCTTCCTGAGCAAAGGAGCACAAAAGAGGAAGACAAGGAGAACTGTTTTCCAAGAACACACAACCCTACGTAGAGGGATCCAGTGAGAACAATGAAAAAATTTTGAACACTAACAATGAAATAGTTTAAAACAGAAACAGCTCTTAGCCACAGATATGAATCTGAACTTCCTGAGGTTCAGGGATATCTTTGTCTGGTTCTTTGAAAGAGATTTCATACTGCAAAGTTTTTGTTTTCCTTTAATACAGTCTCCTTCTGTTTCTGGTCTCAGTTCCCTCATTTTTAGTGCCCATGTTATCTTTCTTTTGCTGTTCCATTTGGTTCCCTGTTCTCCAGCTGAGGTTAGATCACATCTTCTGTCTACTTCACTTGCCTCCTAGGTATAAAAAGACACCTACAAATCCACCTTCTTAATTGCCTCTTTTTTTATCCCAGCCTCCTGAACAGTTTTACCTACTTAGCCCCTCTTATTTTCTCACCTCTTGTTGTCTCATCCTTTTCCTACTCCTTCACTCAGTAACTGGAGGAGAGGTAGAAAAAGTGAGAGATAGAGAAGGGAGAGGTAGAGTGGTGAGTCTGTAAAAAGAGCTCTGCTTCTGAATTTGCTTGGCTTCAGTGAAAAATATTGTTTGCTTTGAAGCACTGGGAGAGAAAAGGTGGGAGGAATAAATGGAAAACTGCACAACAGGTTTTTCCCGGGTCATCAAAGGGACTGAAATGACATTTTCAGATCCACCAATGATACTCATAACACAACACGTTGCCATGTCTGCCTCGTCTTCACAGCTCAAAACCCATGAAGTAGTGTCATAGCCAGGCACTGCAGTCACCTCTGCAGACACATCACAGGCAACTTGGTAGCAACCATGCACAGTGGTGGCATGGAACCACCACAGTAAATTTAATGGTTCCTCAGCTTTTAGACCTTGATCTGGAGAAAATAACACCACTGAGATTTTCCTTTCTTTAAGATAGTTTCAAATGATGAGAGATCATGATCTTAGCCCTATATCCAGGAGTAAGTTTGCTTTTAAGATGCTGCTTTGCATGCACCAAAAGGGACATACCTATTTGAGACTGAGCAACCATAGTAGACTTGCGATCACACAGTGGAGAGAATGGAAGCCCCAGTTCTGCTTCTTTGTCACCCTGGAGAAACAAAATGGAGAAGAAATTAGAAACAGACAAGACACATTGCACTTTGATATCTTATGTCACCACTGTAAAAGCCTCTCATTTTATTGTCAAGACTGATTTTTCAGGGGTTGCACTTCTTTGCAAGTCTTTTTCAGTCTTTTGGGTAAGGAATTTACAGTGCATGGCTGGCCAGACAGATTAGTTTTTCCTTCCAAAAGAAACACTGTCATTTTTCTACAACAAAGTAACCTGCTTGCTTGAGGTCCAGTGAGCAGTAGATATTGTCTGCTGGAGGGTGGTGGTAAATAGCTCCTTTTCAAATGCAACCTGTCACAAGTAGGGTCCTCTAGGGACAAAAACATTATGATGTTCAACAAGGAGAAGTGTGAGGTTTTGCACCTAGGGAAACAAAATGCAGGAGTGCTGCCTGGCTGGAGAGCAGCTCTGTGGAAAGGGACCTGGGGGTCCTGGTGGACAGCCAGCTCAAGATGAATGAACAGTGTGCTGCTGCTGTGGCAAAGCAAACCTATAGGATGCTGGGCTGCATCAACAGGGCATCACCAGCAGAGAGAAAGAGTCATTACCCCACTCTACTCAGGTCATACCTGGAATAATATGTTCAGTTCTGGTGCCTGCTATGCAAAAAAGACGTGGACAGGCTGGAGAGGGTCCAGAGAAGGGCCACAAAGATTTCAAAGGTCTGGGAACCTGCCATATGAGGTAAGGTTGATAGAACTGGATTTGTTCAGCCTTGAGAAAAGAAACCTTAGGGGAGACCTTGCCACCATGTTCCAGTATTTGAAGGGTGGCTTACAAAGAAGATGGAGACTCCCTTTTTAGAAGGAGTCACATGGAAGAGACAAGGGGAAATGGGTACAAGTTACTCCTGGGCAGATCCCTATTGGACACAAGAGGAAAATTTTTCATGATGACAACAATCAACTGTTGGAATAATCTCCCCAGGGAAGTGAAGAAGTTCCCAACATTGCACACTTTTAAAAGTCAGCTAGACAGGGTGCTGGGCCATCTTCTCTAGACTGTGTTTTTCCCAGGAAAGGTTGGACCAGATGATCCTTGAGGTCCCTTCCAGCTTGGCATTCTATGATTCTGACATCATCAACATCTTACAAAAGTGCTTAACTACAAAAGTCCAAACATGCTTTCCAGCCCTCAGAACTGAAAGTGCTTTTCTAACATCACACCATGGTGCAGAAGACTTGCAATCTTTCAAGGTGCATATTCTCAAGAAAACCTTTAACTTCTTTCAGTCACTCTACAACATATGTTTCTATGCTGAGAAGTTATATAGGATGACATAGTTGCACTAGTCCCTGCTGAGCATTCAGATTTAAATAGGCTGTTAAATATACTATAGAATCAATTCCTTAAATCAGCAGCTCGCTTAAGCTGTGCTGCACATCTTGCCAGTGTTCTGACTAATGTCAAATGGAAGCTTTAGCTTTCCAAAGCCAGCAAACTGACCAGAAAAAAACTTTTCTAGGCATAAGGAGAGCTGAATTCTCCTTTTGTTAAGGTAACATACATGAAATGGGGGCACAAGTGCTGTTAGAGCTTTGGGTGAAACAACAAGCAATAGTATTCTTCTGTTGGAGAACAGTTCTGCTCTATTTTAGCAGTCTGATATATCAGGGTAAAAGAGAAACCAAACATAGAAACATTTCCAAGTAACATTCCTTTACTGTGTCTGCTGCACCCCTCAGAAAATTCACCTTGCAATGCCAGCTCTTAGCTAATCATTGTTCTTTTCTTACTCCTTATAGCTCTTAAAAACTCCAGTTCCAATTGAATTTTTAAAAAAAAAAAAAAATTAATTTTTGTAAGGAACCCCTTTCTGACTGCTCAGAGAGATACTTGACTTCTTCTAAGCTCTTTGGACATCTCCCTTGTAACTATGTAAAGTACATGAGTAAAACAAACCAATCCATGCAAGATGCTTGCTTTAAGAGATGCTCACCATGGCTGCTGAATGCAAAAATCAGTATTGTGCTCAGAAGCACCATTCCCACCTGCTACATGGTTCCTTAGTGTAGGAAGATCTGCACCACATCAGAAAATACCTGGAGGTAAGCTTAAAGGTTTTTCTGAAGAGGGAATTAATACTACATCTGAATTTGGAGCTAGAATACAAGTTTGATATAAAACTCTACCTCAAAATTGAGGTATTTGTCATTCAAAACTAAAGTGCACTTTTTTGGTTGAAACGAAATTATTCTTATGAAAACATAAAATAATAATTTTGCCTCCATTACATGTGTTAAAGATCAAAACTTGGGCTTTTTGTAGTCTCATATCTAGCTAATCTTAATTCTCTCATCAGTCTTTAAGGGACTCAGCGCTGAAGTATTTTAACACATCTAATATAATATTGAGCTAAAAAAGCATAAACATGCACAGAATTTTCCCCAAAATGTATGTAAAATTCATCCTACCTGCATGAGCCTCCTGTGTGGCACCACAGAGGCATCTGCAGGTATGATCTACCTGTTTCCACCTAGTAAACCCATCCTTGATTTGAAAAACACATCGAAGGATTCATTTTAAAGCAAATTCTTGCAATGTCCTTATTAAGAGAAGATTCCCACAATGCCCTTAAAAACAGATGCCATTTTAAAATAAAATTATTAAAACTTTTAAAAATTGTCATATATTTTTCCTTTTTTTTTCTTCATTCAGATTTACTATAAAACATGAAGTTATTGAATTTTGGAGGGAAATTAAGCACTTTGTTTTCTGCTTGGTTTTGTAATTTATATTGTGAAAAGTAAACTAAACATTCCTAAGTGCTCTGTTTATTTTTACCTTTTTTTTTTCCCCCTCTTTAAATGCTTTTGATTAGGCACTTGGGGAGCTCATAGCTGTTACACAGAGCTTAATGATTTGTCTAAATTTGTGGGTCTGTCAACTGGCAGTCCACTGTGAGCTATAAACTAGATTGGTTCCCTTCATCTAAAGTAAGAGTAATGCATTTTTCACTTCTACCCCAAAAATGTAAGTACAGTTCTGCAAAGTACAGCTACCCAAATCTGTTTTGTATGGTTCTGCAGCTGAGTGGAATGTCTCATATTCTAAATTTTGCTAATTGGAAACACATATTAACCTCCCAAATTAGAATTCCTGCTATGTAGATAATGTCTGTATCTACAGGCAGTCTGTCAGAGGCTAACTTCTCAAGAGGCAGAACAGCCAGTGCCAGGCGAAAAAGCTTCATATAATTTAAGGGGTTTTTGTGTAAATCAGAGTAAAAGCAAAAGACCTGTGTTCATATTTTCCTACTTCCTCACCCAATCCTACACGCTCCCTCAGTGCTGCAGAAGCAGAGAGGAACTTCCCTAGAGTTACCTGTCTGAAGAACTCCTCTAGCAGAGACATGGTCCAGCGATGATGGAGGTCCCAGGCCTTGGCTGGATGACTGATATCTGCTGTATGCAACAACAGTGATAAGGCTTTCGGCTTGTCAATTCTGAAAACCCAAAAGGATCAAACAAATTAATTGTCTGCTCTTGCCGTGGGGAATGACAAAAATCTCACTCTGGTCTGATAGAGGTATAATTCTGGGAGGCTCTGGCCAGACCTGTGTCCAGCGTGGAAAAAAATGACCATCACTCAGGGCTTTTTGCAGCATAAGAGGGATTTTATGGGGAAGAGCTGTGGACAAAATATTACAGCTCCTGGTGGCACACTGGGAAGAAGAAAAGGCCTTCCCCATATTGCTCCATCTGTCATTTCCCAGCCCTTCCCCCAGCAGATCTCAAGTTGTTTTCATCTGTCCTCTGGTTATGGAGCAGGCCTCTTGCAGAGGTGGCAGCTGATACCATCTGCAGAAGAGCAATGTCTAAGTCATGTTCTGCAGATCCTACCACCTTGAGCCATACGTAAGCTGTAGAGGTCACTCAGCTGGATCATGTCCTTGATGTTACCCTGATAGGCAGTGGGAAATGCCCAGGGTAGCTCACCCCAACATGGTGACCTTTGCAAGCTTTGGTCCACCAAAATAGGGATCTGTGTATAGGGGGGTGCCAATCCACTCCTAAGTGAATTCATTCAAAATTCAACAGCAGGAAGAGAATTGATGTGGACATCAAAGAGAGTGAAGACCTCTGGAGAGGTGCTTTTGAAGTCGAACACAATGGCAAAGCAGCAGCTGAAATGCAGCCCCTGACTGCACAGTGCTGTGAAGTGACTCACCCTTCTGGCTGCTGCAAAGCATTCTTCATGGCTTTGATTTGCTGGAAGTGACAGGACATATCAGTGGCCAGCACCATCTCAATCACTAGAGCTCTGAATTCCCTTTTGAATGGCATCACGACGAGAGGAGCAAGGAAAGAGAAACACAAAAACCAGCATCAGACACACTCCAGTTTCTTTTGTTGTCTTTCTGCAAATTATTGATGCTATTTCTGCCTCTGTATGTCCCTGTTCCCATTATCCCTCTTTCAGGGTTAGGGAAGAGGATGAATGATTTTCTACGTGTGGAAGGGCTGCAAATTAAGCCAGGTGGCTTAGCCCTTGCTAAGAGAAATGCTAGATGTTATCTGAGGAGCACATTAATAACAATACTCCTTTTTCAATTAAGCACAACATAGATTTCTTTTATAGGGGATTCTTAGAAGGAAGTAAAAAGACTATTTCAAGCCTTGACATGAAGTAGGTGAACTTTGAACCTCGAGCCTCTTGACTAAAACTGGTTGATACTTCTGCAAAAGTTTAATCACATTATTAAAGGAAAAACAGCATGTTAACAAAAAAAAATCTTCTACTATATATGATAGAAATATGCAGTCAAGACCTTGGAGAACCTGCATTACTTCCCTGATATTCATTCAAACTACTCCTGTATGAATTTGTTTAAGATTCAGTTGAAATCCCTTTGGAGGTAAAATGGATGTCCAAGAGATTTTAAAATTTCAGGACATTCTGACCTAGCACACAACACCACTTTATTTCCTCTTTCTCCCAGTTCTGCACTCCACAGGTTAACAGAAGAACAGCCCAAGGTTAGCACACCTCAGCTCAGGATTTGGGACATTCAGAAATGGGTCAGCTTTCATTTAAAAAGAAGTTACATTCTTCTTTTCATTAATGTTTCATGAAGGACATGGTCTATTTTGAGCATGTTGCTCTTGCCTCCGGTGGCCGTGCTCAAGTTCAAGCCCCAAGCCACCACTGTGTCTACCCAACAGCATTCAAGATGATGGCTGAAAACAAACTAGTTTTAAAGTATTTTTACTGTTTTTTTCTTTTTTCACCAGTCCTGATCAGTTCCCTGGTCTGACTCATTCCCAGCAGCACAAACATGTTCATCAATACAAGCAAGAGGAGAAGCTGAATGCCTAGAAACAAACTTCTACAAGGAAAGACTGTGAGTATAATGTGGGAAAATTTAGCAGTTGGGACTATTCCTTGGAAACAGCAGACACTTCACTACATCCTCTGGAGTGCAGCTCCATCAGAATGGTCTGCATGGGACACTTTGTGTGGGGGTTACTGCAGTAGGAACACCAAAGCGAAGGGCTCAGTGCAGGAGAGTGAGTCCCTGAATATGCACATCCTCTGAGCCCTGCATGGATTTCAGAACTTTATTTCCTCTGAAACAGAGGAAAAATCCTTCAGAGACATTAAAAAAGAAAGTATTATTTTAAACTTGGAGAGTTGTTACTTCAAACATCAGGCACCAGAACAGCAGGAGACTTTGAAAGGTGTGTGGACATAGGTAAGACATGAGAGAAAATCCCAAAAGACACATGCTAGAGGATGACAGGTTTGTGCATTGGTTGCCAGGTTGAGATAAGGTTGAAACACATTACAAAGAGAAATGAAGAAGGATATTTTCCCATTTTCCCATTTCTTGGTCCTGCTCCCCAGTCAGATTGGAGCCCAGTGTGCACTTGGCTCTTTTGGTTCTCATGGCTCTTTCTGCGAAATGAAGAAGGATATTTTCCCATTTTCCCATTTCTTGGTCCTGCTCCCCAGTCAGATTGGAGCCTTGCATGGGTCTTTCTGCTCTGACCAGCTTTAGCACTTTGTTTCTGCAATTCTCTTCAGAGTCTACACAGCACACCACAGTGCTGCAGTCCCCAGAATCTTTGCAAGAGATGTTTCCACTGAGGTATCACCGGACTACATTTGATGATGCTAATAATGCTGAGAAGCCTGATAAAGCTTTCCATAACATTCCTTCAGAGTGACCTGTCCTTAATTTGGGATAATACCTTTGTATCAGAGAAGCACTGTGTAGAAAAGCAGAGGAAAAGCAACACAGCTGAAATAGTTTCATCATCTTCACCCTTCAGAAAACAGAATTTATTTGAAGAAGAAAGGAGGCAGGAGAAGAGGCTGCACTACTTCAAATGTCTACACGTTCTGTGAAACGATGCAAAAGTGTCTCACTGAACACATAGGCTTTTAATTATTATTATTTACCTCTGATGAAGAGGCTCTCTCAGGCTGATAGAGGCAGACATGCTCTTCAGCTCTCCTCCAGTGAGGCCCAGGCCATGTGCAAACGTGGTGTCTGGCACAGTCTCACGAGCAAGTGCAGTTTTACGGTCTCTTTACTACTGACTTTACATCTAAGTACTCTCAAGCCTTGCATTGACCCACATGTCAAAGATCTTCATTTCCTCTTGAGAATAATTACTTCACAATTTCACCTTTCTTGTCTCAGAGAACATTGCATCATATTTTTGGATACTTTGTTGGATGTCTCTTTGCTCCGTATCAGTGTCCACTTTAGAGGTGTTCCCTAGTAAGGAACCCATGTCCCCTTGCACTCATAGGAAAGGGACAAGAAAAAGGCCATTTTAGATCGCTTAATCCCTAGGCTAGGAACCAACAGTGACATCTCCTGAAGCCAGTGATTGAGTTAATTTTGTCCAGTTGAAGTATCAGTACTTTATTCTCATGGAAATGAAGAGGAAATCCACTATATTCATGGAAACCTTTTCCATGGGTGATTGTCACTAAAGGTATAAGACTCAGAATGACCAATTCTGACTACCTAGAAACCAACTTTTACAACAAAAGGGTGTGATAATGCAACCACCTGCACACTACTACATACAAAAGAAGGCTCTGACCAAATTTGTCTTCTGTCAAAAAAAAAATCAAATTTTCTCCCAGCAACCTCAAAAGGAATAACACTGACAAGGAAGGCTCAAAATCCTTTGAGGGTCAAAACCCCAACCAGTTTTACTGACAAAGTCAGTGTTGCATTAAAGTTTGCCTCCCAAGCTGTAGCACAATACAGAGTTAAGGAGCTAAACACTTTCCAGATGCCTTTTTAATCCTGTACTTGATGATAAAGGGCTTGTGCTAAACATACCCTGTTACAATGAACTGCATGGAAATTACTAACAATGAAATACAATGCCAGAAAAAACATCTATAACAGCAGCTTGGAAAGCATCTGTGCACTTTGCAGTTTATTTTCTTAATTCACTGTGATCTGTTTTTGTTACAGTTCCTTCACTTTCTTGTTGATGACTTGCACAAATGGGATTAATGAAATGAGGCAACTCAACTAATTTTTGGATATTTAATATGCAGAGTTTTTAAGTTGGGAAAAAAAATGTAGTTTAAGTACTAGTTAGCATTCAACCCTTTTCTCCTTGACTGTAGCCCAAAAGATCTTCCAGTCTCATCTGCTTTCCTTACAAAACCTGTGCTCCCTGATTTTCCAGCAGTAACATGCAACTCTGATTTTCCACATTTCTTTCCTGAAAATACATTCCCTGACTAGATCACTGAATACCACAAAAGTGATAAAATCCACAGACAGACAACTAGGATTGACAAATCCACTGCCCATCTGATTTTTTCTTACTAGTAACATGAAGAAAGGAGTGAGAGCTCAGCTCAGAAGTGCACTTAAGAATTTGCTTTCCAAAGCTCATCACTCAGTCCTTGAGAGAGATTTATCAGGTATGTCTACAAAAATGAAGTTTGGACACAATTTAATAGTTTCCCAACATCTCCTTCAGCACTGAAGGCCCTATTTTTGAGTGCCAGTCTGGGCAACTCTTGGTTTCTTGTTTTTTTTTCCTCAACACC